AGCGGCCACAGGTAGATCAATTTATTCTAGGCGTGAAGAACATACCTCTCATTGATCCCAAACTTCTACACTATAGCTGTGAAACTCCAATTATCTCATTCCGGTACTGTTAGAAACAGAATTGTTTTGTTCTCAGAAATTTACCATCTAACAGGCCTTCCGGAGCGTGGCGCATCTTCGACCACCTCTACACTAGAACGAAAATGTTTAAACCATCGTTGTGCGGTGGAAATGGAAACTGTATCAGGTCCATACACTGGACAAATTTTATTGGCGGCTTGAGACGCATTTTTGCCTTTATCGTAGTAGTATTGTAAAATATACTATAAAATATGTATATAAAATAAGTATATTTTGCTCCATGTTTGCGACGCTATAACTCACGAGCGACTTAAAAGAAACGACGATCAATGTGTGAACATGTGTTAGCGAATGAAATGAGCTCTCTAAAAAGGTATAGCATGACCCGATGCGACGAATAAAACTAGAACTACGCGCTTTCAGCGCCAACTAGCGAAAATACCGCAAGACTTTTTTTGACAACCTAATATGAAGTATAGGTGTGATAAGCTGTCTAACTTTCGATTTCGTTGAGACATATGTATAAGGTCTAGTAAAAATAAATTCATCATGGTTGCATTAAATTTAAGATTTATTTAGTCTAGTTAGAATTATCTGATTTATGTTAAATATCAAAATGGTTTTCTATTACTTGTTGTCATTTTGGAGATAATTTCTTATTATCTCTACCCTATTGCCAGTTGATTTCCACAATATTCTCTTAAGTTGAATTTTCACTAGCAAAATCAAGAGACTTGGACAGAAACTGTTAGTAATCACTTGATTAGTGGTTCAAACTATAAGTTGGATGTATAAAAATCACCCAGCCGAGGTCACAAAGCTGCTGGCAAGTAACAATAGTGGCCTGGGAGTGGCCTGTTGAATCAAAATCCCTTTCCCATTCGCCAAAGCTGGCTGCTTCGGAGCGGTTGGTTCCTTAACACGGTGTTATTGTTGGCAGTACGAGACAGAATGAAGAGTTTGACAGCAGGAAAGCAGCTCATTATAACATATATAATTTCCTGCAAATCCTACCAAATACTGCGATGACTGTCAAACTTATCATGACCACTGTTTGCGCCGTCTGTCCGCGATTCGACCACAATCGTTTTGACCTAGTCGTAAGTGACCCACTTTTCCTCACCAGTAACTATTCGCATCAGAAGTGAATCGATTTGAGGAGTGATTCGCAGAAATTCGATTTATAAGATATTTTGTCTTATATTGGAGTGTATGCCTATATTGAGCTTCTTTTGTAACGAAAGCGCTTCACCACTAGAATCGCCGTATGTTTGTAAATTGGGCTGAGCAACAACTAGAAAATGTTTCGGATTATCATCGAAAAATAATCTTCAGCGATGAGGCTCATTTCTGTCTGATTCACTTCGTCAATAAGCAAAATATGCATTATTGGTCAGGCAACCATCCACATGTACTCCATGAATCTCTATTGCATCCTGAAAAAATTACGGTTTTGTGCGGTTTAGGGGCCAGCGCTGTCACTGAGCCGTACTTCTTTCGTGATGATAAAGTCCGGCACGATACTGTGAAAGCAAATATCTCGAGCTCAATGATAACCGAAGCACGATTTGGATGATATAGACTTGGACAATATGTGGCCGGTACCATGGTCCACACAGTGAATGTCACAATGGATTTATTGAAATGGCCTAATTAATTGGTAGCCTCGCTCGTGCTAGACTATTTCCTGTGAGGGCTACGTCACTCCTATGGTCTATACCAACAAGCCAGCGTCGATTGATGAACTTCGTACCAATAACGAACTTGAAATTGCAGCTGTATCGGCCGATTTATGCTTGAAAACCGTCGAAAATTGGTTTCAGCGTCAGGACTTCTGCAAGCCTTTACGTGGTGGCTATGCAAAATAATCGAGTTTCATACATAATGGCATCGAATGTACTTTCACATAATATCCCAAACCATTTTCGTTCTTTTTAAAAATAACTTTTGTAGCGCTCTTATTAAAAACCCGTTATTTTAAGCTGTTCTCCCTCCGCAATTTATTTATATCTGCAGGTTGACTTTATTCGATATCTGCTTTTATCTTCACTTTTGGCCCATATGTTCTTTGAGCCACTGTGAACGAGTGAAAAAGTTGATATCAAAGAATCTTCTGCGTAATGATAATCGTAATTTTTTTTTTTTTATTTTAAAATTTCCTATGGTCTAATCCAGACGCGAGCCGTTACTACGTGTTGTGTGCGATTTAGCTGCGTTGTTGTTCTTTTGGTTCTAATATATTTGTATCTGCTTAGGTATTAACTCTCAGTGATTTGCCGCACCAATAAATAATAACAAGCGCAGCTGTAAACCTGTTTGCCTCAAAATCGGAATTCGAATTGGGAGATAGTAAAATTGGGTCAACCTAACGGAAAAATGTATGCTTAATGCGTTTCTTATTCATATTAGCTGCTGATATTAGCATATTTCACGTTGTATATTTATGTTGTAAATCACTATTCAATAACTCTTATGGCGAATTAAACAAAGTATTTTATCATAAAATCTCTCTCTTTTGATAGCGGCGTATTCTATACACTTCTTTCTTTTTATTTAAATGGTGTTAGTGTAATTTTTAAGTTGTTTTTAAAGTGAAAGCCATATAGTACGTGGATTATTATTTAGTATACCATCTAGAGTCATCTAAAATGCAAAGTAACGTAACATCACTTTTCTTAAGTTTAAAGGGGAGAGTAAAACGATATAATAGAAATTACTCATATTGAAAAAAAAAAAAAAAAATTGAGTTTTGGTCATAAACGGTTATTAAGTGGTTACAAAATGGTTATAAAATACTTGTAAACTGGTTATATATTGGTTATATCTGACAGCGGAATCTGAAATATGATGATGTAGTGATTCGCATGCAAAAACACACAATTTTGATTTTTCGAGATACGTTGTTTTGCATTTAATGTGATGACCTGTAACTTCTGATGACTTAGCAGTTTCCATCTTATTTGGATATTTCATTTGAGCTTGGCCAAAGTTGTTATAATGCTGTTCTTGTAGTTATGGGAAGAATATCATGTCAATTTAGATATTGCTTACCAATTTATAATGCTTTGCCGTCTATAAATCAAAATATTCCCCTTTTAATTACATTATTTCAATTAATATATATTTTACTTTGGTTTGCACGATAGCACCTTGTTTTAGATTTAAGAGTAACCGAACGTTTTATACTCTCTCAAGGTAAAGTGATACACGATTTTCTTATACAATCGAATATTCAAACATAAATATAAACAATCAATCGCTAGAATAAGATTAACAAAATTGATGGAACATGTTAACATGAGTGGTAACGGATGATCAAAGTAGATGTAGTACTCCATTCAATAGTCTTTTTTCACAGATCACGCGTGAGTCGTGACAATCTGTCATGTTAGTTTTGTTCAGTATTGTTTGACATTTCATCATCGAAAGACTCACGTTTGAACAACGTTTACAAATCGTACGCATCGCTCAACTTACAGCCTACTGAGCGAGCTATGCGCAAGACCATCACCCACCTTGAGACCCAGTATTCATTATTGGATAAAATTTGACCGAATACTAGGTCACGCCCAGCACGCAGTGGAGAAAATATAGCAGTATAGTCGAGGGTGTATGCGAATACCGTGGAGAGTCGATCCGGCGCCGTTCCTAACAACTCGCATTGACGTAGTATATAACGGCTTGGCGCATTTTACGTCGGCGTCTTATATTGAAAGCGTACAAGAAACAGCTTATACAAGCGGTGATACCGCTCGACTTTACCAATCGTTATCGCTTCGTTTTATGGGCTCTTGAAAGGTTCCAAAAAGATGCGACTATTTCGCGATTCAAGAGCTGCCATTTTATCAAGAAAAAATAACGGTTAGGTGTGGTTTGTGGACCGGTGGAATCATCGGTCTTCATTTCTTCAAAAATTACGCCGATGAGAATACAAGCGTCAATGGTGACCGTTATCCCGCCGTGATAACCGACTATTTGATGCCTGAAATTGAAGCTCGTGACCTCGGGAACATTTTGTTTCAACAAGACGGCACTACTTCCAACGCATCGTATCAGTCAATGGATATATTGAGAGAACACTTCGGTATTATATGTTTTTCTATATATTCAGGTTTTGGGTCGGTCGATTAGCCACAAAGATCGTGCGATATCACATTGTTAGAATTTTTCTTGTTGGGATTTGAAAAGTCTGAAGTATATGCGGACAATCCCGCTTCGATTCAGGCCTTGGAAGGTTCACGCGTATCATTTTGCCAGTTACCAGCGGAAATGCTCGAACGAGCAATCGAAAATTGAACTCAACGGATGGTCTATCTGAGTCGTAGCCGTGGCCAACTTGCAGAAAGAGATAATCTTCAAAAAACAAAGCCAAATAATGATATTTCGAATAATAATAAACTTTCAACATTAAATGAAAATTTTCTGTGTTTTTGTTTTTAGAAAAGTAGGGAACCTTTCAGAACACTTTCTCAAACTGCTGAAAGGCGAAAACAGTGCTGCGACGCAGGAAGTAGAACATGCACCAATAATCTAACTTGACAACCTCGTCGTCCTGTCACTTGACTGAGACAAGGTGAGAACAGCTCTAAGGCAGGTTAAGAACAAAATGGCTCGGGAGTCGATGGTAAGGCGAAACCGAGAAGTTGATAATGCGAAGAACCAATTCATAGCCACCTGTCCGCACCTGCAATGCAAAACTGTCGCAACCTCGCAAATTATAAAGGAAACTGCCGTAGTTTTGTGTTTTCGGCACAGACCGACCAACGGTTTTAGTGCCAAAAAAGAAGAAACTTTAATTTTATTTTATTTTTTGAAGTTGGCTTCACCTATCTCCGAAGACCACTACATTTCAAAAATAATTTCAGGCACAATAAGTTTTTCTATCCATTAAAAAAAATTAGTAATCACACGTTTTCATATAAATATGATTAAAAAAATTTTATTAAACTTATAATGGAGGCCGTTCAACTCTTTCACCATTATGTCGTTTGTTCGCCTGACGTCTGCGCACGATCACTCTGCGGTGCTGTTTGCGTTGTCCTCCACGTCGTCGCCTGCGACGGTCATTTGAGTTGTTACGATTTGGTCGTTTCCGCTTTTGTGCCGATGGACGTCTACGTCTTTGGGCCGATGGGCGTCTGCGTCGCTTTTGCCGACGTCGGCGTTGCTGTGTACGACGTCGTGAGGGATTACGTCGGCGTTGCTGTTCACGACGTCGTGAGGGATTACGTTGTCGTACATGATTCGTTTGCTGGTTTCGTGCCATGTAAATGGCGTTTGCTCTGTTATGCTCAACATTTCGACCAATTGAACTCACAGGTGACGAATCGTAATAATAATCCTGTGTTCCCCGTGTAGGAGTAAAGCTACCATCGGAAGTATAGTCATCTGTTGATGTGGTAAGTTCTTTATCCTCATCAGTTGCTTCTTCTGGATAGTCTGTGTAAATTATTTCACTCTGTTCAGATGGTGTTTCTGCAACTGACCCGCAATTGGAGTTGCTTGTTTGTCCTTTTGATCCGGTTAATTGGTTAATGAAATCAGGTGTTACAACGCGACCCAACAAGCCTTCGTAGACCGCATCGTACTCAGAAGCTGTAATTATGAATAACGCGTGATTATATTTTCAAAAAAATTATTAAAAAAAAAACAAAAACAATATTATTCGTCAAACAAACGTTTTGTGTCGTAAACAAATAGCTGTCAAGCACACACGAACATAAAAAGAGGTAGTATCAAGCCAAGATATCTTTATTTTGTCGATTCGCGCAGTTTATATGGAACAGTCGGGTTCAAATTTGATCTTGAGTGTATAAAATTTCACTAACCAACAATTTCCAGCCACACAGCTGCCATCAGCAGCAATGCTGGCACTAAATGTAACTTTGCGAATTTCATCTAATGCTCGATATGCCGTTATTTACCTCGAACATTTAAAAAACTAAATTGAACTGTCTTCGCTCCCTGTTGGCCGACGGTTATATATGCGCTTTCGCAAAAATTTGCAAAAAACAAAAAAATAGCAAGAAAGTTTGTAACTCACTTTGCTAATTATAATTTTCTATAGCGAAGAAATTGTAAATCAACGCACTAGAAATACACACATACATACCCACATACAAATAGTTTACTGTAGAGCTTAATATATGCAAGGCGATAAACTTGTTCTTTATTCGCGAGAATTTTGCAAAGAAGATTTGGAAATTTGCGAAAAAAGAGAACCGTAAGTAAGCAAGCCAGATGTGTATATGCATATGTATGTATTAATAAATTCTAAAAAAAAAGTTGTCGAATGTTATTGATATCTACAGAGTGCCTGCTAACTCGAACAACTTCACTTTACTGTATTCCAAATTTATTTTGTAAACATTTTTGTTGTTTTTTTTTTGGTAATTTTCGGGCGTTCGGGCATTCATCGTCTTTGGTGCTCATTTCAACACCTCTAACCATAACCTACTAATCCTTTATGGTTGATTTTCCTGGTGCAGTGTCCGAAAACTAGTCGTCAAGCCAAATTTTTGCTTCAACTGTATTTTTGTTTCTTCCCTCAAAATAATATAATTCACAAACTAATGATACAACAGCGGACAGATTTATACATGCGCCTTTTGAAGGTTATGGCTAACTAAAAATTATATGGATTTTATTCTGGTATCGCCATCTATGAAACAGACCGGGGACTTTCCTTGTTATGTGTATCTACGATAATATCTTAAAACATTGTTGTCTGACTTTGGGACAATTTGTACGATTCCGATCATCATCTTTGAGAAATGATATTGCATTTTATAATAAAATAAATTTATACTGTATTAAAATCCAACGCCATTTCTCAAAGAATTGTTCCAAACTCGATTAAAACCAGCAAACTATTCGCCTAATGTGAAGTACTAAGAGAAGATGAAGTCAATCCTTGATTGGATTGAGCAGGAGACTTACTAAATGATTTTCCAAAAAAAGCTATAAAATTTCTTTAAAAAAAAAATTTAGTGGAATTCAAATGTTTTTTATTTTATGTGAAATACAATTGATAGAATTAATTTCTGAATATAATATCATTCAAATGGCCCACACGAATTCTTTTGCAGGATTGAATTCGATGAGCCAAATTTTAGAGTATTTCTTCCACTAAATCTTGTCTATATCTATGTCATGAATAGCATCTTCAATATTTACTTCTAAGCCTGGAGAGAATCTGATTTATTACTGAAGACCTAGTACAACAAATAACACCACAAGAGGCAGTCTAATGATATTAAATCACAATTTCCTCCATTCAATGCCATTCAATGTCACAATTTATTAAAATAATCGAATTTCCAAACTATTTTCGCAATAACTTGGTTGTTGCGCGTGCTGTGTGGCATGGCTTATTAAAATCAGATGTTGTAAAGATCAAATTCTTCCAATTGCGGCAAAAAACGTTGGTTATCATCGATCTACAACGATCTCTATTCACAGTAACGCTGTCACCAGCTTGGCTGAGATGTTTTAGGTGGCTTCAGCGAACTTTTTATTTTTTTATCTTTTTTGGTTTCAAGTTATTTTTAGATCGTCAAATAACAATTCGAGAGATAGTTTAAATTTTTCTAACGAGTTGTATGTTTGATAATTTTGGCTTGACGTCACTACTCGTTAGAAAAATTTAATATTTCAACTATCTCTCGAGTTGGTATTCGACGATTTGCATCCAACACCGCGTTAATTTTATCCAATTCGACTTCAAGAGTTTGTTCAGGGCGTAAAATTGTCGGATCGAAATTTTGTACTATAAATTAACTTTTTCATTGACATTCGGTCAATCCCTCTTTTCTTACATACCACAAAATTTTCGCCTTGCCAGATTTAATTTTTATCTCTTTAATATTAAAACAGTAAAATATACCCAAAATGCTGGTTTCGATCTTCCATCTTCGATAGGGTACAAAACAAAAACTACTCAAAGAAAGTCAAGTATATTTTTTAAAAACTAGCCGTACTACTTGCATATCAGCTATGGAAATATAAGTGATGATCCATTTAGAGGTACTTTTTGAACAGATCACGCGTGAGGCATGTCAAGCTGTCTAATTATTTTTGTTTAGTATTATTTGGCATTTCGTCATAGAAAGACTTACGCCCGAGCAACGTTTACAAATCATTCAAATATTAGGTTGTCAAAAACGTCTTGCGGTATTTTCGCTGGTTAGCGCTGAGAGCGCGTAGTTCTAGTTTTATTCTTCGCATCGGGTCATGCTACACCTTTTTAGAGAGCTCATTTCATTCGCTAACACGTGTTCACACATTGATTGTCGTTTCTTTTAAGTCGTTCGTGAGTTATAGCGTCGCAAACATGGAGCAAAATAAAGAGAAAATAAGGCATATTTTACAGTACTACTACGATGAAGGCAAAAACGTATCTCAAGCCGCCAATAAAATTTGTGCAGTTTATAGACCCGATACAATTTCCATTTCCACCGCACAATGGTTTCAACGTTTTCGTTCTGGTGTAGAGGTGGTCGAAGTTGCGCCACGCTCCGGAAGGCCTGTCGTCTAAAATTGCGATAAAATCGCTGAATTGGTCGAAAGACACCGGCATAGTAGCAGCCGTAGCATCGGTCAAGAGTTGGGCATGAGTCATCGAAAAAAAATTTTATGAACAATTGAAAATTCAATAAAAATACCGCAAGACTTTTTTGACAAACTAATATACGTATATTTCAATTAACCGTGAACAATGCTTGCAGTAACCCCACCTTAAGCTTTCATAATTCTTAAAACTTTTCTAAAATATTTCTATTTATTTTTATTGTCAAGTTTTGCCTGCCATAAATTTGCCTTCATTATACTCCGAGTTCCTTACAAAGCCATTTGACCATTTAATTTCAGCATATTTACTTGATAGTAATAAAATTTATTATTTATGTGCCTTTGGCTTTCATTTCCTTCTTGATGCCGATAAACAATTACAAACTCTCGCCATTATCACCAGTTACCACCAGCTGTCGCTTGCGATGCCCCCTGATGCGCAAAATAGCTGTTTTAATTAATTACCCTCATCTCCTATGAGATGACATCAAAAACACCTGATGATATGCTGTATTAGGCGTGTCGGGGGGAATATGTGCTGGGTGAAGATGTCGATTTGGCTGTTGCCAGCTTTCATACACTGAAGCATTCGAATAATTAGGGCGGAATTATTAATCACAAAAATAAGGTCATAAGCCTGAGAAACGCAAACGACTATACGGACTAGAGGTGTGAAAATTTAAACATGTACAAATATACTATATATGTACATATAAAGCAATACTGTGGCTTTCTATAGGGCTAGGTGAATAAAATTGGTGAAAAGATTGGGTCACAAGTGGGAAACGAAAGAAGTTAGCTAAACACAGTGTGGTAAAATATTGTGTGAATTTTATATTGGACTACAGGCCATATGTTTAGTGGGTTAAGAATTTTAAATGTTGAAATTTAATATTATATTAGAATCAAGAAAATATTACTTCTGCTTTATATGTCAGTATCAAAATATTAAGCGATATTATGATATTATATGAAAATATATAATATAAATATGAACTTAAACTAGTAAGGAAGTATAAGTCCGAGTGAAACCGAACATTTCTTTGCAAAGTGCAGTCCTGCTGTTGGAAAAACTTCATATCACAATAAGGGAAGTATCCGCGATTTTATAATCTTATTTCAGAATGCAAATATAAAGTGAATTAGAAGATCGAAAATGGTTTTAATAGCTATATGTTTAGGTACTTACATAAATTATTGTTCGGTTTTGAAAATTTTTAAAAGTAAGAAGAAATACGTTGAGTGCACTATTTGTGCAAAGGTTAATTCTGATAACTTCATTGATGTTTGATGGAACCTAAAAGTTTGTTATTGGCGAAGAGGGCACGGTTAACATTTGATTTTATCTACAATCTATAATCTATAACCAATAATCTATAATCTCTAATCTATAATCTACAATCAATAATCTATAATCTATAATATATAATCTATAATCTATAATCTAAAATCTATAATCTATAATCTATAATCTATAATCTATAATCTATAATCTGTAATCGGTAGTCCATAATCTATAATCTACAATCTATAATCAATAATCTATAATCTGTAATCTATAGTTACTGAAATATAGGATTTCTCTTAAACATTGGACGGATATTCACTACCATTTTGGTTATGAAATCGAATGCTTGCGGCATATTTATTTAGTGAGTTATCACTTTGTTAGTGGTTTTCAACATAACCGTTATATGGGGAGTGGGCACGGTTATTTTTTTTCGATGTTCAGAGATTTAGATATTAGATATTCCAAGTGATGCCAGGTCTTTCTCCAGAAGAAATGTAAATTAAATCATTTAGGGTGCGGGGCCACGCCATTTTTTTAAATTTGGATCAAAGTTGTTCCTGGTTACCATATCACTTTATATATTTTCGCTTAACCGCATTTGAAGGGTATGGCAGTGGACTTTTTCCGCCAATCTGCAATTAGTTCTAGATTAAGGAAACAACCATTAGGAGTATAAAAATATATCCCACTTTTGAAACTGTAATAATTTTTTTTTAATTTTTAATCGTTATTTTATTCTCCAACAAATCACTTTCGCTCTAAATTTTGTTAAAATGTAATAATACAGATAAATCTACAACAAGAAACAGCCTAAACTTGATTCACCTTAAGCAAATTCGAAATGATGTTCGGCAAGTATTTACATAAGCTGTGTGCATTATGTAATAGATACAACGATATGTAAATAAGCATGGCAAATCCAGGTGCTGTAAGTGAGCTGACATAAGTACCGTAATAGGAGTGCGTATGCCATCGAGCCAAAGCAAATACACAAGTAAACACATGAATAGCAAGAATCTTTAAGTAGATGCGGCCGGAGAGCGGCTGCGTATTTACAGTAATTTTGAGTTACGTATGAGTA